ATATCACTGAAACCTGGGGTTGAAATCAGGCAGTCTGTTGACCAGTATGATTTCACTTTGTGCATATACACATGTGGCATAAGCATTATTGTGGCAAAGAAAAGATACATCTCAGCCACAGTTGCCTCCTTCCACTGGTGTAGACGTGATTTTGGTGAAAGTATTGTGTTTGCCATGGTGTACTCGTAGTATGTGTTGCTTTCCATGACAATACTTTCCATCAGGGGTTCATCAAAGAATAACTCGAAACATTCCAATTCAGTGGCATTGTTCCCAAGTGTACAAGATGGCCGTAATCCACTTTTTCTGTCATCAAACTGGTGGGCATTTGGAACAAAACTCACAGCTTCCTGCCAATCCCAGGTGCAGTCTGCTGGTGGGTACTGGACAATGACAGGTGGTTGTGGTTGTGGAGGCTGGTGTGGTGGGTGGGTGGGGGATGGTGGCCTTTGTTGTAGATCAGCTGAGGCAGCGGCGTGGGTGGCAGCATGGCCCACTGCTGGTGCCTCACGGCCGTCACCACCACTACCACCACCATGCACATTTTTCATCCCAATTGCAACACTATCATCGTCATTTTCACTGTCTGTTCCTGTTGTACAGCCACGGGATATACTCAGAGATGTGCTCCTTCCCCTTGGAATAGCATATGGCACACTACCAGAGGGCATATATCGTCGTATATACAGTAGGGCCCCACTCATACGGCAGGTTAGGTTCCAGGCTACCTCCGTAAAGCGGAAATCGCCGTAAAGTGGAACACCCTTTTTTTCCACTTACAAATGCATACAAACACTAGATAACAAGTTTACACTAACATATATTAAGTTAGCAATAGAACCAGGCATCAAAAAACAATAAAAAAGTACAATACACACATATTGCACTCATTACTTACCTTAAAATATTTATAGTCTTAATCTAGGGTGAGACAAGTAGTATTTATTGTAAGAAATCAAGTGTGGTATGTATGGTAGTCAGCCAGGCTACCATACCAGGCCACCCCACCCACACATACAATTCTATGATATTTAAGCATCCCAGAGCGATAAAATGTATATACAGTTCACTCATTACTTACCTTAAAATATTTGTAGTCTTAATGTAGGGTCAGGAGTAAGTAAATGAGATAAAACGAATAAATGAGAGAGAGAAAGAATGAGTGCATGAGAGAGGACAGGCGCAGACTTATGTAAACAAACCAGGCGAACGTAAGTTTTGTAAACAAACAAAGTGTACACGTCTGGTTTGTGTACAAGTTACATTGTGTACAGGTTGTCTCTACATTGATACGGTAGAATAAATAAAGAAGAACACTCCCATTCTCATGTAACATCATTTTGAGAAGAAATGATGCTCTGAGTGAAGGCAATGGAAATAAGTCACTCTGACTTTTTTGGGTTATCCTAGGTTCTCTACACATATGTTGTTATGTATGATAATCTATGTAACTGTATTTGTGTATACCTGAATAAACTTACTTACATACATACGAAAGGAATAATTTTCTACAGTTACCCCCAGTAACACATTTTCTCTTATGTTAGATTAGAGAAAATGTTATTCTTGGCATCACTTGTACAAGTTATCTGGCTACCACATCTCATATTTATGTTTATTTATTCTATTGTAGGGTGTATTTATCATCTTTTTATGTTATGTATTGTGTTTATTATATAATTTTGAAAAAATATCATGGATGGATTAATGAAAATGTGTATATTAACATAATATACAACATTTAATGAGACTCGGTGATTATTATTATTAGCATTTCTAATATGGCGTCACTTGTGCAAGTCGTCTGCTACCACATCTCATATTTATGTTTATTTATTCTATTGTGGGGTGTATTTATCATCTTTTTATGTTATGTATCGTGTTTATTATATAATTTTTAAAAAATATCATAGATGGATTAATGAAAATGTGTATTTAACGTAATATACGACATTTAAATGAGACTCGATGATTATTATTATCATTACTAATATGACGTCTGGAGACATAAGACACTCTTACTGATTTTAATGTGTACCTGCACGCCAGCACAGTATGTAAGTTTATTTAAGTACAGGTATACATAAGTATAATTATCAGAGTATATATAAAATATGAAATAACTTTTAAAAACATTTGAAATTTTGGAGTTTCCAGACAAAATGGAGAGACTTAGTGCTTACTGAGCTCACGAAGAATGTAAACAAACAAGGTGGGGCGCGGTGACCGTATTAGAAAGTCAGGTGGGGGGAGCCGTACAGCGAGTTTTGGTCATAATTTGAAATGACCGTATTAGCGGAACGCCGTAAAGTGAAACGCCGTAAAGCGGGGCCCTGCTGTACACACATAGTGCACTCATTACTTACCTTAAAATATTTATAGTCTTAATCTAGGGTGAGACAAGTAGTATTTATTGTAAGAAATCAAGTGTGGTATGTATGGTAGTCAGCCGGGCTAACATACCAGCCACCCCACCTACACATAATATTCTATTACATTTAAGCATCCCAGAGAGATAAAATGCATATACAGTTTACTCATTACTTAACTTAAAATATTTGTAGTCTTAATCTAGGGTGAGATGAGTAGCATTTATTGTAAAAAATCAAGTGTGGTATGTATGGTAGTCAGCTGGGCTACCATACCAGGCCATTCCACCCACACATATTCTATGATATTTAAGCATCCCAGAGAGAAGACAGTTCACTCATTACTTACCTTAAAATATTTGTAGTCTTAATGTAGGGTCAGGAGTAAGTAAATGAGATGAAACGAATAAATGAGAGAGAGAAAGAATGAGTGCATGAGAGAGGACAGGCGCAGAGTTATGTAAACAAACCAGGCGAATGTAAGTTTTGTAAACAAACAAAGTGTACACGTCTGGTTTGTGTACAAGTTACATTGTGTACAAGTTGTCTCTACATTGATACGGTAGAATAAATAAAGAAGAACACTCCCATTCTCATGTAACATCATTTTGAGAAGAAATGATGCTGTGAGTGAAGGCAATGGAAATAAGTCACTCTGACTTTTTTGGGTTATCCTAGGTTCTCTACACATATGCTGTTATGTATGATAATCTGTGTAACTGTATTTGTGTATACCTGAATAAACTTACTTACATACATACGAAAGGAATAATTTTCTACAGTTACCCCCAGTAACACATTTTCTCTTATGTTAGATTAGAGAAAATGTTATTCTTGGCATCACTTGTACAAGTTATCTGGCTACCACATCTCATATTTATGTTTATTTATTCTATTGTGGGGTGTATTTATCATCCTTATATGTTATGTATCATGTTTATTATATAATTTTGAAAAAAATATCATGGATGGATTAATGAAAATGTGCACATTAACATAATATACGACATTTAATGAGACTCGATGATGATGATTATTATTATTATTTCTAATATGGCGTCACTTGTGCAAGTCGTCTGCTACCACATCTCACATTTATGTTTATTTATTCTACTGTGGGGTGTATTTATCATATTTATATGTTATGCATCGTGTTTATTATGTAATTTTCAAAAAATATCATAGATGGATTAATGAAAATATGTACATCAACGTAATATACGACATTTAATGAGACTCGATGATTATTATTATCATTACTAATATGATGTCTGGAGACATAAGACACTCTTACCGATTTTAATGTGTACCTGCATGCCAGCACAGTATGTAAGTTTATTTAAGTACAGGTATACATAAGTATAATTAACAGAGTACGTATATATAAAATATGAAATAACTTTTAAAAACACTTAAAATTTTGGAGTTTCCAGACATAATGGAGAGACTTAGTGCTTACGGATCTCACAGAGAATGTAAACAAACCGGGTGGGGCGCGGTGACTGTATTAGAAAGTCAGGTGGGGGAGCCGTATAGCGAGTTTTGGTCATAATTTGAAATGACCGTATTAGCACAATGCCATAAAGTGAAACGCCATAAAGCGGGGCCCTACTGTACTGACGCTTCACTGGGGAATATTTCACTTCACTATCACTACTGGAACTGTTTTCAAGAGCTTGTAGTTCATAATCACTATCACTATCATCACAAATGCTCACATCTGAGTCTGGGATTTGGGAAAATAGGAGTTTCCTCTTTGATTCTGGTACAACTGAACGTGAACAAGACGACCCAGCACCAGAGGTGGAAGGCTGAGGGTCATCTGGGTTTTCCTCACTATTACCGATATTATGGTCATTAGTTTCGGTCAAAACCTCACCAAAACCTTGAAACTCATCTTCACTGGCACTTCCATCTGTATTAGAACTGTCACTGGGGAACAAAAGTGTCCCGATTCGCCGAGGAGTGAGGAACTTCTTAGAGCGAGGCATGGTGGACATTGTGTACTAAGATGGCGTTCCCACAATGCACCACTGGGTCCCAGATTTTTTTTCTACCATGCACACCGACCACACAGACCCATTCTCTCACATCTAGGCCTACTAGCCTTTTCCCGTGAGATTTGAAAGCGCTAGAATTTATGTGTACTAGTACGTCAAAAACCCCTGCGTGTAAGCCATACTAGTACGTCCGAAACCCTCAAAGAGTTAATTGTAAATAACTAAATACAGCCTCTCCTCACTTAGCGATGTACTCATTTACCAACTCCTCGGACTTACGACGGGCTCTCTGACCAGTATGTACATTAGAGTTTATTTCCTCTATTCTGTTTATTACAATATATAGTACACTACTGTATAAATATTTAAAAATATACCACATATGTTATAAATGGTGCAAAGGCAACATTAAAACAATATCGAAGATAGTTGACACAAACCCACCACCATTATAGTATGCTCCTCACTTAGTGACAAATTCGTTTACCGATGTGGTCTTAGGAACAGAACTCCGTCATTAAGTGGGGAGAGGCTGTACCGCTTTCTTATAAATTAAAATGAATTACGTAATGTGTAATATGCCATAAAGTGTAAAAAAAAGTATGGTGATGTTGCTGCCATGGCACCATACCTGTCTTACCCTCCAAAAGGGTGCGGATCTCTTCTGATGGGGTTATTGACAGTGACTCCAGGTTTGCATCTTTCATCTCCATTACCAGCTTTTCCACTTCTTTTTTCTTTTCTGATATTGCCTTCTCTGATTCTGCCATCTATGAAATAGCAAACAAAAGCATTAAATAAATAATTTGAGCACATTATCTACCACCAATGTAGGCAGGTAATAATAATAATAATAATAATAAATCTCCATGGGGAAGTGGAACAGAATTCCTCCTCCGTAAGCCATGCGTGTCGTAAGAGGCGACTGAAATGCCGGGAGCAAGGGGCTGGTAACCCCTTCTCCTGTATATATTACTAAATTTGAAAGGAGAAACTTGCGTTTTTCCTTCTGGGCCACCCCACCTCGGTGGGATACGGCCGATGTGTTGAAAGAATAATAATAATAATAAAAAAAAAATCACCATTTCTATAATCCCCATCTTGCCAGAGGCATGTTGACATCACAGTTCAAATTGCCCTCCAAAGTGCAACATCCTCACCCCTCCTTTAGAGTGTAGGCTCTCTACTTCCCACCTCCACAAATCCAACTAACTGGTCTCCCAAATCCCTCCATAAATATTACCTTGCTAACACTGGATCCAACAGCTAATCAAGTAAACAAAAATACATGCCTCCATTCACTCTAACCCTCTCTCACAAGCCTGTTGGATGTTCAAACTCCTAGCACTCTATCATCTGCTCTCCTTTTGCACTCTCTCACCACTCTCTTCACCTTTCTTTTACTCTCCATATACTCTGCTCTTCTTATAACACTTCTGCTTTGTAAAAACCTCTCGTAAGCTATCTTTTTCTCTTTTATCACACTCTTTACTTCATTATTCCACCAATCACTCCTCTTTCCTCCTGCACCCACCCTCCTATAACCACAAACTTCTGCCCCACATTCTAATACTGCATTTTTGAAACTATTCCAACCCTCTTCAACCCCCCCCCTACTCATATTTGCACTAGCCCACCTTTCTGCCAATAGTTGCTTATATCTCGCCTGAACTTCCTCCTCCCTTAGTTTATACACTTTCACCTCTCTCTTCCTTGTTGTTGCCATTTTCCTTCAATTCCATCTACCTCTTAATCTAACTGTAGCTACAACTAAATAATGATCCGTTATATAAACATGTACATCCTGAAGCCTACCCATCAACCTTTTATCCACCAATACATAGTCTAAAACTACTTTCATTACATGCTGTATCATACCTTGTATACTTATTTATCCTCTTTTTCATAAAATATGTATTACTTATTACCAAACCTCTTTCTACACATAGCTCAATTAAAGGCTCCCCATTTTCATTTACCCCTGGCACCCCAAATTTACCTACTACTCCCTCCACAACATTTTTACCCACTTTACCATTGAGATCCCCAACCACTACATACTCTCTCACTAGGTTCAAAACTCCTCACGCACTAACTCAACATTTCCCAAAACCTCTCTCTCCTCCACACTTCCCTCTTCTCCAGGTGCATAAATGCTTACTATAACCCACTTTTCACATCCAACCTTTATTTTACTCCACATAATCCTTGAATTTACACATTTATATTTCTTCTTTTCCTGCCATAACTTATCCTTCAACATTATTGTTACTCCTTCTTTAGCTCTAACTCTATTTGAAACCCCTGACCTAATCCCATTTATTCCTCCCCACTGAAACTCTCCCACCCCCTTCAGCTTTGTTTCACTTAAAGCCAGGACATCCAGCTTCTTCTCATTCATAACATCCACAATCATCTCTTTATCATTCTCACAATATCCACACACACACTCAAACATTACCCACTGACGGTTTTCTTCGTTTTATTTTTAGTAGGCAATACGGGGAAAATGGGTTACTAGCCCATTGTTCCTGGCATTTTAGTTGATTTTTACAATACGCATGGCTTACGGAGGAAAGATTCTTATTCAAATTCTCCATGGATAAAAAATGAAAAGCAATAAGCAATAAAAACTATTAAGACAAAATCAAAGAAAACTCATGAGTGTGTATACATAAACGTGTACATGTGTAGTGTGACCGAAGTGTAAGTAGAAGTAGCAAGATGTACCTGAAATCTTGCAGCAATCCTACCATCATGTAAAACAAATACAGGCTTCCTTTTTACACTCACTTGGCAGGATGGTAGTACCTCCCTGGGTGGTTGCTGTCTACCAACCTACTACCTATAAACACAATAAATAACCAGTGACATCACAAATATGTGTCTAAGGTTTAATCATACTGGAAATTCTTCCCATTATCTCATAAGTTTCCCTAACCTGAATCTTACTCTTCATAAAAGCTCTCAACATCCTATCACTTATTTAAAACATTTGCAAAAAACAGTCACATCACAGTATCACACACCTTTTCCTAAATTCCTATATGCAACAAACAGCTCCTTATCCATATCTAATGTTCAATCAGTCTTTGCAAACTCCCTGATCCATGCATCCCATTCCCTTCCTAAATCCATCTTACCCCTCTGCAAATTCTGCTTCATTTTTTCCCCTAATTTTCTTTATAATAATTCTGCTGTAAACTTTTCTCAGTATATTCAACTTAATTATTCCCTATAATTCATTCTCTCTTTTTCTTTTTTTCCTTGTACAGAGGAGCTACCATATGCATGCTCTCTTTATTTTTTTTATATAAAACATCAAATATTTCCCACCAAAGTAGAGCAACACAAAGAAAGAAATTCTTTCTATCAATCACTCTTACACACTTTGAATAAGGAATGCTAGATTCCAATCTATTCAGAAGACAGACATTACAAAACTTAAGAAACTATTCACTATATTAATATTTATGTGCATATTAACCTCTTGAAGAAGCTGCTGTGAGGTGAGCTGTGCATGCTCAGCCTGGGCATTAGCTTGTGCTATAGCTGCTTGTAACTTCTCAATCTCACGCATTATAGCTTCTTGTTGAGCTTTCGCTTCATCGTGGCTACGCTGTTTTTCTTCACTCATGCTTTTCTCCAGTTCCCTAAGAGAAATTATCATAATTTCTTCATAAAAAGTAGCCAATTAACAACCCATATAATTCATAGAGGAACCATTTTATTATAGGCTAAATTAAATAAAGACTGTTTTGAAAGTGGCAAACTAAAAATGAGTTGCCACAAAAACATTTAAATACCAGATACGATGACAAATAAAAACATGTCACACTACCAGTGAAGACAAGATTTAGAGCTCATCCTGCAAACTCAAATAGGTAATTACAAATGTTTTTCCAATGTAAGTAGTAAGTGAAATAAGATGAATAATGATACAGTGGAAGTGAGCTCCTTACATAGGTATATGACTCAATCATGGAAGTGGGTTAAAGTTAAGTGGGACCAAAACCTGGAGCTCACTTTGGCACTCAAACAGGTACTGTAATTGCAAATTGGTAATTACATGCAACAAAGAAGTATTCACTAGCACATCAACAATGTCTTAGTGTTGCCACAAAGTTGTTGTTATTGGTAATTACAGAACTGAGAAAAAAGTCAGAGGATATTATATTTAATATTTGAAGCAATTTAACTTCCTAACGATTATATTTACAAAATATCCAACATATTTTCATCTTGCTTTTTATACAAGTTTCCATTAAGGAAGTCTCTGCATATTTTACATGTAAATGCAATTATAATTAATGAAAATTCTAATTATCAGAATGCAAATAATGATGTTTTTGTATTGTAATAGATAAAGAAAACAACAGTTATCTTACTGAGCTGACCTGACGGTCTCATTGTGACTTGCCAGCTGGTTTTCACAATGAGCCAACTGTGCCTGTAGAGCACTTATTTCAGCTTTAACTTCATCCTCTGCTTGTCGTGCTTCCTCAGCCTCCTGTTCCAGTTGTTGCAAATGATTCACCTGTCATCAATTATAAACAGAAAAAATGTACCTCGCATTAAATACATTTATTATTACTATTATTATTATGCAAGTAATAGTGCTTATAGTCAAGCAACAGTTCATAATAATTTCAAGGACAACTGGACAGTTACATTACCTTACCTTACCCAACAGCAAGTAGAGGCATGCATTAATTTCATTCCCATAAAAATTCTACACCAAATGACTGTCCCTCAGAGTAATACATTTTTAACTAAGTTGATATCAAAATTTATAAGCTAAATTAGTTTCATTTATGAATTTGACAATGGGAATAGAGGTTGTCAAGAGACTGCTTAAAAATATAAGACTGTCCCTGGATGATTAGTAATTCCTCCACCGCTAAAAGATAAACATTTTCCAGCGAATTATTGTTTCTAAGAAGTTAAGAGTGAAAGGCAGGAACAAGTTATGTTAAAATTCTACTGCTAAGACTCCATAGCTCACAACTATATAAATCAAAACACTGACTGGTGAAATGTTGTACTCATTACCCTGTCTAGATACTGAACCAATTTTTTTTTTATAATAGTACAGTACTAACTACAGAACTGAGTTGCAAACTATCACAAAACTTCAGAATTTATCACACAGAAGATAGAGCATGGCCTAAATGCTTTTGTGAATACTTTACTCGTATGGTTCTGCCAAGAAATTGACAGTCTACATTGGCTGCCAAGAGAGGGAATAACAAGTTCACTTACTTGGATTAAATGATTGACTGAATTCAGTCCAACATTCCTCATATGCTAAGAAATTACATCATGGACAGTATGAAGAATGAAAGCAAGAGAATTTGCAGACCCAAACACAATGGCAAGTGTTGCCAAAGTACCAAATTTGGAGGATTGTAATTAAATGGGCCAAGATAAACAATTTTAAATGTAGCTAGTTTTTGGTGTAGAAGAGCTAAATGAAAACAAGCTGCTGCACAAAACAAACATGTCTCATTTTCATCCAACTCCTCACTGGCAAAATACAATGATAAATTACACCAGAAATTAAAGCCCACCTCTTGGTCAATCTGTTGTGCTAGCTTCTCTTGTCTCTCTATCTCTGCCGTGACATAAGCTAGACGAGATTCATCTTCACGTGACCGTCCCTCAAAGTATGCTATTTCTGCTTCAAACTACAAAAGAATTTGAATTAACTAACTTTATTTATACCAGTTTTCATATACATATCTACAGTAAGATAATATTCCAATTAAGGATAAAATGGCTGGTGATATACTGGAAAAACCGATGGAAAAAATGACACACAGTAGTAGGTAGGTTGGTAAGTAGTAGGTAGGTAGTAGGTTGGTAGACAGCAACCATCCAGGGAAGTACTACCGTCCTGCCAGATGACTGCGAAACAGAAACCTGTAACTGTTTTGCATGATGGTAGGATTGCTGGTTTCTTTTTCTGTCTCATAAACACGCTAGATAACAGGGATATCTTGCTACTCCTACTTACACTTTGGTCACACTTCACAGACATGCACATGCATATATATATATATACATACAACTAGGTTTTTCTCCTTTTTCTAAATAGCTCTTGTTCTTCTTTATTTCTTCTATTGTCCATGGGGAAGTGGAAAAGAATCTTTCCTCCATAAGCCATGAGTGTCGTATAAGGAGACTAAAATGCCGGGAGCAATGGGCTAGTAACCCCTTCTCCTGTAGACATTTACAAAAAAAAGAGAAGAAGAAAAGCTTCACAAAACTGGGATACTTGAATGTGCGTGGATGTAGTGCGGATGACAAGAAACAGATGATTGCTGATGTTATGAATGAAAAGAAGTTGGATGTCCTGGTCCTAAGCGAAACAAAGCTGAAGGGGGTAGGGGAGTTTCGGTGGGGGGAAATAAATGGGATTAAATCTGGAGTATCTGAGAGAGTTAGAGCAAAGGAAGGGGTAGCAGTAATATTGAAGGATCAGTTATGGAAGGAGAAAAGAGAATATGAATGTGTAAATTCAAGAATTATGTGGATTAAAGTAAAGGTTGGATGCGAAAAGTGGGTCATAATAAGCGTGTATGCACCTGGAGAAGAGAGGAATGTAGAGAAGAGAGAGAGATTTTGGGAGATGTTAAGTGAATGTATAGGAGCCTTTGAACCAAGTGTTTGAGTAATTGTGGTGGGGGACCTGAATGTAAAGTGGGAAAAACTTTTAGGAGGGTTGTGGTAGGTAATTTTGGGGGTTTTGCCAGGTGTAAAGATAATAGGGCCCTTTGTTTGAATTTCTATAAAAAAAGGGGTTTAGTTATAGGTTTTTAAAATTTTTTTAAAGAAAAAGAGGATAAATAATATACAAGATATGTGTAGGGCGAAAATGACATTTAGTTTGTTGGATTATGTTTTGGGGTAGAAAAAGATGTTGAGTAGATTTCAGGTGTACTGTTTATAGGGGGGCAAGAATATCGATCACTTTCTGTTGGCTACACTGAGAGAAAAAGGTAGATGGGATACAAGGGAATAAAAGCATCGGGGAAAGAGGAGGTGAAGGTTTATAAACAAAAAGAGGAGGCTGTTGGGAAAGATATAAACAGCTATTGGAGGATAGATGGGCAAAATGAGAGCATGGGGCAATGGGGTCGAAGGGTATGGGGTGGGTTTTTAAAAAATGTAGGTTAGAGGTTCAGCAGAAGTTTGTGGTTACAGGAAAGTGGGTCGGGAGGAAGGGAGCGACTGGTGGAATGAAGAGTAAAAAGGTAGTAAGGGGGAAAAAGTTTGCATATGAGAAGTTTTTTTCAAAGTAGAAATGATGCAAGGAGGGAGGTTATGGAGAAAAAAGAGAGAGGTTAAGGAGGGTTAAGCAGTTTTAAAAAGGAGCAAAGAGAGAGGGGTGGATTTTCAAACAAATTTTTTTGAAAAAAGAAAAAGTTTTGGAGTGGATTAAAAAGTTAAGGAAGTAGGAACAAATGGATTTGTCAGTAAAAATAGGAGAGGAGAGTTTTTAAATGGAGAGTTAGAGGGATTGGGAAGATGGAGGGAATATTTTGGGAATTGTTAAATGTTGATGAAGATAGGGGGCTGTGATTTGTGTTGGGCAAGGGGGAAAAAATCTGTAGGAGTGAGGAAAGCCCCTTTGAGTGTGAGGAAAATTCGTGGGCAGTAGATAAAAAAGAAAGGGGGTATAAGGAGCCGGGATTGAGGGATAAAAAATAGAAATGTTAAAAGCAGGGGGGATATAGTTTGGAGGGGGTGGTGCAATTATTTAATAAATGTATGGAAAAGGGTAAGGTACTAGGGATTTGGCAGAGAGTGCTAGTTCCTTTGTAAAAGGCAAAGGGGCAAAAGAGAGTGAAAAAAAATTTTTGGGGATAAGTCTGTTTACCTGCGATCTGTTGGAGTGTGGGGGTAAAATTTTTTTGTGAAAAGGGGTTCAGGGAAACCGGTTATTTTTTATAGTGGACTTGAGTCCGGAAAAGGGGAAGTCAATGCCTGCACTTTAAAGGAGGGGTTTGGGATATTGGCAGTTTGGGGGGTATGTTTGTATCTTTATTTTTTGGCTTCTAGACTGTTGTATTTGAGCCCCTCTGCAAAAACGGAAAATGTGCGAGTGTGGGAAAGTGTTGAAGAGTGAAAGTATTTTCTTTTTGGGGATTTTTTTTCTTTTTTGGGTCCCCCTGCCTCGGTGGGGAGGCCGATTGTTGGAAAAAAAAAAAAAAAAAAAAAAAAGTTGTTGAGTATCCCTGGTAAAGTGTATGGTAGAGTATTATTGAAAGAATTTAAAAGGGAAGAGGGAATAGGAAGCAGATGAAAAAGGAGGCTTTTGGGAAAAGGTAGGGGATGTGTGGACCGGCGTTTTCAGTGAAAAAATATAAGGACCGATTTTTATAAGGTAAAGAGGTCTTTGGGCATTTATGGATTTTGGAAAAAGGATATGACAGGGTGGATGGGGGGCAATGTGGAGTGTTGCAATGTATGTGTAGGGGATTATGGCGGGGGGGGGGGGGGGGGGGGGGAAAAAAAAGGTTTTTTTCCCAGTAAAAGTAGGCCTTAGGACAAGGATGTGTGATGTCACCCTGGTTGTTTAAAATATTTTTAGATGGGGTTGTAAGAGAAGTAAATGCGAGGGCTTGGCAAAAAAACCTGAAATTAAAAAGATAAAAAATCACCCAAAAAAAGGGGAGTTTTTCACGTTGTCTTTGCTGATACACTGTGCTCTTTGGGAGATTCTGAAGAGAAGTTGCAGAGGATGGTGGATGAATTTGGTAGGGTATGCAAAAGAAGAAAATTAAAAGTGAATACAGGAAAAAGTAAGGTAATGAGGATAACAAAAACATTAGGTGATGAAAGATTGGATATCAGATTGGAGGGAGAGAGTATGGAGGAGGTGAATGTATTCAGATATTTGGGAGTGGACGTGTCAGCGGATGAGTGTATGAAAGATTAGGTGAATCATAGAATTGATGAGGGGAAAAGGGTGAGTGGTGCACTTAGGAGTCTGTGGAGACAAAGAACTTTGTCCTTGGAGGCAAAGAGGGGAATGTATGAGAGTATAGTTTTACCAACGCTCTTATATGGGTGTGAAGCATGGGTGATGAATGTTGCAGCGAGGAGAAGGCTGGAGGCAGTGATGTCATGTCTGAGGGCAATGTGTGGTGTGAATATAATGCAGAGAATTCGAAGTTAGGAGGAGGTGCGGGATTACCAAAACTGTTGTCCAGAGGGCTGAGGAAGGGTTGTTGAGGTGGTTCGGACATGTAGAGAGAATGGAGTGAAACAGAATGACTTCAAGAGTGTATCAGTCTGTAGTGGAAGGAAGGCGGGGTAGGGGTCGGCATAGGAATGGTTGGAGGGAGGGGGTAAAGGAGGTTTTGTGTGCGAGGGGTTTGGACTTCCAGCAGCCATGGGTGAGCGTGTTTGATAGGAGTGAATGGAGACAAATGGTTTTTAATACTTGACGTGCTGTTGGAGTGTGAGCAAAGTAACATTTATGAAGGGATTCAGGGAAACCGGCAGGCCGGACTTGAGTCCTGGAGATGGGAAGTACAGTGCCTGCACTCTGAAGGAGGGGTGTTAATGTTGCAGTTTAAAAACTGTAGTGTAAAGCACCCTTCTGGCAAGACAGTGATGGAGTGAATGATGGTGAAAGTTTTTCTTTTTCGGGCTACCCTGCCTTGGTGGGAATCGGCCAGTGTGATAATAATATAATAATATGCCACATTTGTTGAATTATGATACAACAATAAACTAAAATTACCATAAGAGCAAATAATATGTTAATATCTGACTGTTAAGCTGGAGGTAAGAAAAGTATGAAGGCAGACTTATCTTACAAAACTCGTATGTTAGGCCTATTTAATATTCCAAAAAAATTATTTCTTTTAAAAAAGGAAGATTAATGTAAAACAACAGAGGTTTGTAAAGAAATGCTAGAACAGGGAGTATGTAACAATTAAGAAACAAGTACTGTATACATAAAGGTCTAATATATCTGAAGATGATAAAAAATAAAGTAATCTTGCACTATTTTGAGTAGTTCTTCATTACTGCAAATCCAGAGTGCCCACAAAAAAAGCCTGACCACCACACCTTTTTCTGGTCAGCAGATCATGATGTGAGAAGTGTGTGGAATTCTTGTACAGTCTTTATAAATTGATCTCATTATATCAGAACAAAGAACTAAACCTAGCAGAGGGAGGTAGGCCTGCTGCAGTGCTTCCCTGCTTCTCAGCACTCAATACCTGATGCCCCAGACACTCAGCACCTGATTTCCTAGATGTACTATATAAGTTGTGAGTGTTATGTTTTCTGTTCTTGAAATAGCCAATATGTAGTGAAACAATGTACAACAGAGACTCCTCTGAAATCAGTAGCCCAATGGCTATATGAACCAATTACCAAACAGGCAGTGTTGAAAAAGATTTATTTAATTCAAACTTGTGACTACTTTTCAAGTTTTATTTGCCATATATTCAAAATACTTTATACAGCAGGTCCCCACTTATGACAATAATGTGTTCCTGAAAATTGTTCCTAAATTAACTGTCTGGACTGAAGACTTGAGGGTCATCTTATGAATCAGTATATTGACATTAAGAGGGACATTAAAAAGGGGATAAGAAAAGCTAAAAGGGACTATGAAATTAAAGTTGCTAGGGATTCTAAAACTAACCCAAAAAGATTTTTCCAGATCTATAGAACAAAAGTTAGAGATAAGATAGGTCCCCTTAAAAATAACTATGGGCACCTTACTGACAAATAGAATGAAATGTGCTTGATTTTAAATAATTATTTTCTCTCAGTTTTTACACAGGAAGACACTAACAATATTCCAGTAATTAATTTTTACAGTGGGCTAGAAGAAGATAAATTATGTAACATCACAGTCACTAGTGAGATGGTTGTGAAGCAGATAGACAGACTGAAGCAAAATAAGTCGCCGGGTCCTGATGAGGTTTTTTCAAGGGTTCTTAAGGAATGCAAAATGGAACTCTGTGAACCATTAACTAATATTTTAATTTATCTCTTCAAACAGGTGTAGTGTCTGATATGTGGAAGATGGCTAATGTAACTCTATTTTAAAACAGGGGACAAGTCGTTACCGTCAAATTACCGCCCAATAAGCCTGACCTCAATTGTAGGCAAATTACTAGAGTCAGTTATAGCTGAGATTATAAGAAGCCATCTCGATAAGCATAGCTTGATTAATGATACTCAGCATGAATTCACAGAGGCCGGTCTTGTCTAACTAATTTATTAACTTTCTTCAGTAAAGCTTTTGAGGCTGTTGACCACAATAAAGAATTTGATATTATTTACTTAGATTTTAGTAAGGCTTTTGATAGAGTTCCGCACCATAGACTGTTAAAGAAAGTGGCAGCTCATGGCATTGGGGGAAAAGTGCTCTCGTGGATCGAGTCATGGCTCACTGACAGGAAGCAGAGAGTGTCCATAAATGGGGTTAAATCCGAGTGGGGATCTGTAACAAGTGGCGTTCCACAGGGATCAGTCTTGGGCCCGTTGTTGTTTATAATATATATCAATGATCTTGATGAGGGAATTACTAGTGATATGAGCAAATTCGCCGATGACACAAAGATAGGTAGGATAATTGATTAAAACGTGGGTTTTAGGGAAAAATTTTAGGAGGTTTTAAACAAACTTATTTTTGGGGCAGAAAAGGGGCAGAGCGTTCAATGTAATAAATAAGGTTCTAAAGTTTGGGGGATCCCCAAAACCCCTATCTTAAAAGTTAAATATGTAAACTTAGCCATCAGATTGGAAAAGGACTTGGGGTTATGGTGAAAAACCCTTTAAAACCAAGACAGAAATCCCTAAGGTAAAATAAGGCAAATCATTACGGGGTTTTATATCAAGAAGTGTAAGAACAGAAGTCCAAGGCATACTCGTTTTATAAAATTTTATAAGGCCTACCAGATTTTGCACTCTTTTTCTGGTTCCTTTTAAAAAATGGCAAAAATTTTGTTAGAAAACATTCAGCGGGATGACTAAATTATTAATGCATTAGAAATTTCCTTATAAGAAAGTTTGAAGCCTTTATTTACTTTCACTTGTTGACGAAGATGAGGGGAGACCTGATCGAAGTGATATTGGAAATAGGTTTTAAAAAAGGGGGATTTAATAAGGTCTTGAGGATTCTCTCCAAGAGAGAACCCGCAGTAATGGTTTTAAAAATTAGATAATTTTAGATTTAAAAAGGGACATGGGAAAAGTATTGGTTTGGAAGGGGGTATTGATGAGGGGAACGTCTACCTATTGGGGGTTATTGAGGCGGGGACTTTGGGTAGTTTCAAATTAGGTTTTGGAAAAGTAATGAGTGGGGGGGGTTGGGATTTGAGGGGGACTTTACCAAGCTTTTTTCGGGGTGGCTTTAAAAAGGGGGGTTGGGAAAATTTTTTTTGGGTTGGGGATGAATTGAAAAGGGCCCTCCTTAGGGCCGCAGGCCTCCTGAGTGTTCCTCCTTTCTTATGTTCTTATGTAAGAACTTATTTTCCCCTAAAACACCCCTGTTTTAATCAAAAGTGAATTTGCCTAATTTCAGTTCTTTTTTTTTGCAAGAATAATTTCCCAATATTTTCATTCAGTAATTTCCTTTCCACTTACAAAAATTTTATATTTGGGAATGCTTCAAAATCATAAAAAATATTATAAACACCTAATGGGGTGGGGAGGATTTTACCCCCTTTGGGAAACCATAGTAAAAACAGGGGGTCGAGTTCAACCACTGTAATTACAATCTAGGAAAAATAAAAGAAAAATTAACCCCAAATCGAAAAAATTAGTAAAAAAAGAAAAAATAATTTGTCTGAAAGTGCAGTGATTTAAATAAAAATCGCATTGTAATATAGAATTTAAAAAAGATTTCAAAAATTTCAAATTTTTTAACTGAGGGCGTGTTAAGTCAGAATATCTTAAAATTGGCTTACGTACAGGGGAAAAATTTTTAAAATTTAAAAAATTGGTACATCATATTTTTTTACCTTTTTGAGGCAAGAATTCCATTCATAATTTTGTACCCCAACTTTGAAGTTTAGTGCACAGTTAAGGGGGGTGAGCAGTGACTTGTGTATCTGATTACTTGTGCAAGCCTGGTAATTTGTGCAGGATCAAACACGTGTATGGGTAGTGATAAGAAATTTTATATGGCTGTTAATGCAAGAACTGGTGCATAAATGTAATGCTATGAATTGTGAATGATGTAATGCTGCAGATAACTAAAATTTACCTATTGTTAAGAAAACAAAAATCTATTTTAAAGAAAACCCTTACCTATTTCAGGTCTACTTGCATTTAGCAATATATGGTACAGTACTTCACATGGTATAGATACTCTACAGTAAAAAAAAATTACATAATGATTAAATTACGGCCTACAATTCTACAGTTTAGGCTTCACTGCAAATGAAAAATACTGTAACAAGTACAAGAGCAAAATTACAGTATGCCATTTTCAAACATATTAAGGGTGTTGTAAAAAGGAACTTAATAGACAATATAATGTTCACAGGAACATCAATACGTTATTTTAACTTTTAAAATTTTTACCTTGGTTATCTCAACTTGCTGGTTGTTTAATTTTTCACGCTGAAGATTAATGAGCTTGATAAGGTCACGATACTTGCCATCCATCACTACCTGCTCCACCCTGCTGCTGTGGTTTCCCCTCACTCCATCATTACCAGCTTTTGGCGACTCCTAGGAAAAGAAGTTTCACTTTTAAAAGTACAGTGAAATTAATTTTATATACATCATCACAATTTTTTGTTGAAATTGGAATCAACTTTCCATATACAGTGGATCCCCGGTTAACGATATTTTTTCACTCCAGAAGTATGTTCAGGTGCCAGTACTGACCGAATTTGTTCCTATAAGGAATGTTGTGAAGTAGATTAGTCCATTTCAGACCCCCAAACATACACGTACAAACGCACTTACATAAATACACTTACATAATTGGTCGCATTCGGAGGTAATCGTTATGCGGGGGTCCACTGTATTTTCAAATAGGCATGTCTTGCTACTTCTACTTACACTTAGGTCACACTACACATACATGTACACATTTATTTATACACACTCATCTGAGTTTTCTTTGATTTTATCTTAATAGTTCTTGGTCTTATTAATTTTCCTTTTATATCCATGGGGAAGTGGAATAAGAATCTTTCCTCCGTAAGCCATGCGTGTTGTAAAAGTCAACTAAAATGCCGGGAACAATGGGCTAGTAACCCCTTTTCCTGTAAAGATTACTAAAAAGAATAAGAAGAAGAAAATTGTCAAAGTGGGAAGTCTGAATGTGCGTGGATGTTGTGCAGATGATAAGAAGAGATGATTGTGGATTTTTATGAATGAGAAGAAGCTGGATGTCCTGGCTTTAAGTGAAACAAAGCTGAAGGGGGTGGGAGAGTTTCAGTGGAGAGGAATAAATGGGATTAGGTCAGGGTTTCAAATAGAGTTAGAGCTAAAGAAGGAGTACAATAATGTTGAAGGATAAGCTATGGCAGGAAAAGAGGGACTATAAATGTATTAATTCAAGGATTATGTGGATAAAATAAAGATTGGATGTGAAAAGTGGGTTATAATAAGCGTGTATGCACCTGGGGAAGAGAGAAGTGTAGAGGAGAGAGAGAGATTTTGGGAAATGTTGAGTGAATGCGTGGGGAGTTTGAATCAAATGTGAGAGTAATGGTGGTTGGGGATTTTAATGCTAAAGTGGGTAAAAATGTTATGGAGGGATATAGGGAAATTTGGGGTGCCCGGGGTAAAAGTAAATGGGGAGCCTTTAATTGAGCTATGTGTAAAAAAGAAATTTGGTAATAAGTAATAATATTTATGAAAAAGAGGGTAAATAAATATACAAGGTATGATGTAGCACGTAATGAAAGTAGTTATTAGATTATGTATTGGTGGATAAAAGGTTGATGGGTAGGCTCCAGGATGTACATGTTTATAGAGGGGCAACTGATATATCGGATCATTATTTAGTTGTAGCTACAGTTAGAGTAAGAGGTAGATGGGAAAACAGGAAGGTGGCAACAAACAAGTAAGAGGGGGGTGAAAGTGTTAAAATAAGGGAGGAGGAAGTTTTGGGTTGAGATATAAGCGACTATTGGCAGAAAGGTGGGCTAGTGCAAAGATGATAGTGGGGGGGTTGAAGAGGGTTGGAATAGTTTTAAAAATGCAGTATTAGAATGTGGGGCAGAAGTTTGGTTAAGGGGGGTGGGGAGGGGGAAAGAGGAGTGATTGGTGGAAATGAAGAAAAGGGTGTGATAAAAGAGAAAAGGAGCTTATGAGGGTTTTTACAAACCCAGAAGGGTTATAAGAAGAGCAAGTATATGGAGAGTAAAAAAAAGGTAAAGAGAGTGGTGAGAAGTGCAAAAAGGAGAGCAATGAAGAGGGGAGGGCCCCGTCAAGAAATTTTAAAAAAAATAGAAAAAATTTTGGAAAAGTGGTTAAACAATTAAGAAACCCGGGGAAAAAATATGGATTTGTCATTTAAAAAACAGAGTAGGGGGTTAGTAGATGGGGAGTGGGGTTTTGGGAGAGGGCGAGAATTTTTGAGGAACTTTAAATTTTAAGGGAAAGAAACAGAGGAGTAATTTCATGCACTGGTGGGGAGGTTCCATTTTTTAGGAGGAGAAGAGCAGAATGAAAGTGGGGGGGGTACGTGAGGCATTAAAAAAATAAAAGGGGTTTTAAAGCAGCGGAACTGGGGTCATGACAAAATGTTAAAAGCGGGGGGGGGTATAGTGTTGGAGTGGTTGGTATTTTGTTTAATAAAGTAGAAGAGGGAAGGGTCCCTAGGGATTGGCGAGAGCAGTTAGTCCCTTTTTTAAAAAGGGAAAAAAGGGGAAAAAGAGACTGTAAAATTATAGAGGAAATAAGCTTACTGAGTATCCAGGAAAAGTGTAGGGTTTAGGGTTAAAATTGAAAAAATTGGGTAAGACAAAATGTGGTTTGGGGATGAGCAAGGGGGTTTTAAGGGGGGTAGGGGATGTGTAGATCGGGTTTTATTTTTGAAGCATATATGGAACAGTATTTAGAAAGTAGGGAAGTTTTTATTGCATTTATGGGTTTGAAAAAGGGATTTGATGAGTGGTAGAGGGGCAATGGGCAGTGTTGCAAGTATAGGGAAAAGGTGGTAAGTTATTAAAATTTTAAGAGTTTTTATGAGGATAGGAGGTCGGTTAGGGTGTGTAGAAGAGAGGGGTACTTCCCCAAAAGTAGGGCTTAGACAGGGGGGTAATGTCCCCATGGTTGTTTAATATTATAAAATGGGGGTTTTAAAAGGGAAATAAAAGCTTGGGTGTTTGGGAGGGGTGGATTAATTATGGGGAATCAAATTCAAAATGGGAATTACACAGTTACTTTTTTGCTGATGTTTACTGTGCTTATGGGGGGATTCTAAAAAAAAAATTGCAAAGGTTAGTGGATGATTTTGGGGAATGTTTTGTAAAGGTAGAAAAGTTGAAAGTGAACATAGAAAAGAGTAAGGTGATGAGGGTGTCAAATGATTTAGATAAAAGAAAAATTGGATATCAAATTGGGGAGGAGGAGTATGGAAGAAGTGAATGTTTCAGATACTTGGGAGTTGACGTGTCGGCGGATGGATTTATGAAGGATGAGGTTAATCATAGAATTGATGAGGGAAAAAAGGTGAGTGGTGCGTTGAGGTATATGTGGAGTCAAAAAACGTTATCTATGGAGGCAAAGAAGGGAATGTATGAAAGTATAGTAGTACCAACACTCTTATATGGTTGGAAGCTTGGGTGGTAAATGCAGCAGCGAGGAGACGGTTGGAGGCAGCGGAGATGTCCTGTTTAAGGGCAATGTGTGGTGTAAATATTATGCAGAAAATTCGGAGTGTGGAAAATAGGAGAAGGTGTGGAGTTAATAAAAGTATTAGTCAGAGGGCAGAAGAGGGGTTGTTGAGGTGGTTTGGTCATTTAGAGAGAGAATGGATCACAGTAGAATGACATGGAAAGCATATAAATCTATAGGGGAAGGCAGGCGGGGTAGGGGTCGTCCTCGAAAGGGTTGGAGAGAGGGGGTAAAGGAGGTTTTGTGGGTAAGGGGCTTGGACTTCCAGCAAGCGTGCGTGAGCGTGTTAGATAGGAGTGAATGGAGACGAATGGTACTTGGGACCTGACGATCTGTTGGAGTGTGAGCAGGGTAATATTTAGTGAAGGGATTCAGGGAAACCGGTTATTTTCATATAGTCGGACTTGAGTCCTGGAAATGGGAAGTACAATGCCTGCACTTTAAAGGAGGGGTTTGGGATATTGGCAGTTTGGAGGGATATGTTGTGTATCTTTATATGTTTATGCTTCTAGACTGTTGTATTCTGAGCACCTCTGCAAAAACAGTGATAATGTGCGAGTGTGGTGAAAGTGTTGAATGATGATGAAAGTATTTTCTTTTTGGGGATTTTCTTTCTTTTTTGGGTCACCCTGCCTCGGTGGGAGACGGCCGACTTGTTGAAAAAAAAAAAAAAAAAAAAAAAAAAAATCTCTATCTAGGCAGGATATTTTATAATTTACAAATGATACCAGAAGGAAGAAATAGGAAATGCATGAATTGTAATGATATTAAATATACAGCAATAATGGGAGTTTTGCAGGTACTAAGATGGCAAACAACAATTTGTACATTCAAGCATTCGGAAAAAATTTTACCAGCCTGTGTGTACTTCTCTAGTGCAGCAAATCAATAAAATGGTGCACTAGCTGTCTGTACATCTCATTAAGACAATTTATGAGAATCCACTAATCAAGAAAACAATGAGGTTTTTGGTAGAAGCCCAGATACACAGTAGTATTTCCAAAACTGTGAGCCACCCTGAGAGCTCACATTTAGTGGTTATAGCCAGTTACCAATTGTCTACAAATGATGCAATGTTATACCCTCAGAAGGATGCCAGAACTGATGTAAAGTGTTTGACAATTAGTTTTTTTTCTGCATTTTGTAAGAAAAGAAGTATTTTTTCCACCTTTAAATTATTTTTAACAAATGGTTAAGAAATAAAGGAGTAGACATGTTTACATTTAGTGATTTAGTCACCAGACTGAAAACTGACTGCATCTGCTTAGTTCTAATTGTCTATTTCCAGAAAGCAACAAAGAATCATAAGTCAGAAGCAAAAGCGAGGTGCTGCAGCTTCCTTCCTCCCCCCCCCCTTCTCCACCCCATTCCCTTCATCTTTGTGTTCAACATAGAGGTAAATATACACACATATGTACAGTAGGGCCCCGCTTTTCAGCGTTTTGCCTTACGGCGTTCCACTAATACAGCGATCTCAAATTATGACCAAAACTTTCTACACGGCGCGGGCCACCCAGTTTGTTTACATTCTCCATGAGCACATCTCTCTATAATGTAATAATAATCGCTCTTGGGCACATTAAACGTCTTATTTTATGTTAATATAGACATTTTCATTAATCCATCATATTTTCTTCAAAATTATATAAGAAACCCATTACAAAGCACAAACATTTTGTTTATATACTATGGAGGTGTGGTAGCCAGGCAGAGGGAAAACATTACGTCACTCCTCTTAATACAAAACGCTTTTGTTTACAATTCTCGGCCTGAATTATTCATTACTTCTCCCTTTGTTTATGATGGCATCTAAAGGTAGTTGTTAGAAATTATTAAACTCAGTGAACATGGTATGTCGATGGTAATAATATGGC